ACCTCACTTGACTATGAATCATAGTCATAGTCATTGTCATCAACCTAACCTCACTTGACTATGAATCATAGTCATAGTCACACAACTATGAATCATAGTCATAGACATTGTCATCAACATAACCTAACATTAAAAGAGAGTGAGAGACGATTGCAAAAATAACCAAAAAACGCCCACAAAAAAAGAATCCTGAATCCGAGTAAATCAGAAAAAAACATTAATTTTTCATTCTTTTCATTAATTGAAAAATGAGTATGTGAATAAAATGAAAGAGAGCAAGGATTTATTTCAAGGTAAACTGAATCTGTACCTTTACATTGAATTTTCTTCGGAAAATTAAAATCTGATTCATATGATTTTTTTCAATGTTTTTTGCAGATGACTTTGAACAATAATAATCCCTAGCCAAAAAAAATGAATAAATGTCAATGACGTTCTGGTTTTCATATCACATAAGATTTTGGATCATATTACGTCATCATCACCATTTTTTTAATTAAAAAATTTTTTTCAAAAAATGAAAAAATTCAAAAAAAATAAATATTTCGGCAGACACTGGAGAGCAGCACTGGTCATGTTTACATTTTGGAATTTTTTTTTCGGTTAGCACTAATCATTTCTGGATGATAAGAATCAGAATTGCAACCTCTGTCCAAACCCACAAAAAAAATCACCAACATCATTTAAACAATGGGTTTCGATACAGATCGTTTTGAAGATTGCGAAATCAGTGAAGAACTTATCTGTTCAATATGTACAGGTGTGTTGGAAGATCCATTAACAACACATTGTGATCATTTATTCTGTAATGATTGTATTAATGATTGGTTACGTGATCATCATACATGTCCAATTGATCGTTGTCCATTACGGTCATGTATGTTGAAACGTGCACCACGTGCTATACGTAATCTAATCAATCGACTAAAGATTTATTGTCCTTATCGTATGGATGGTTGTAAACAAACATTTTGTTTAGAACAATTTGAACAACATCGATTACAATGTTCATATAATCCAGACAGTATGGTCCAATGTAAATTATATTGTCAACGTTTGATAAAACGCCGTGATATCAATCAACATGATTGTATAAAAGAATTGGCCAATATGATTAAATTACAACGTAAACAATTGAATGATCGTGATAAACAAATACAAATCCTTTACCTTATATTAACCATTTTAATAATGATATTTTTGCTAATTTATCTATTCTTGCCATTACCATTATTGTTGAATCAATTTGCTCGTTTGACATCAATTTTTTGTTCAATCATGTTTGATTGGTCTAATTATTTATAACCATCATGTCCAAAAGAAAAATCAACCAACAACAAATCTCATCTGTGATCGATCAATTTTCAATCAATTAAAATTCATTCGAGAAAAAAATTCATAATTTCATTTTTAATTGTTTATAATTTTTAAAAAATAAAAATAAATTTACATTCAAAACTTTTTTCCCGGAAAAGGAAGATTGAGAAAAAATTGTGTGAAAATCAACTAAATCAATCAATCAATTCAAATTCTTTCTGTTAATGAAGACAATAATTATCCAATAAATCATTATTGTTATTCGATGATAATGTTGATGTTGATGATTCAGCAATCAGATTATCCATTGCATCAACAGCATGATGATTATTATGATCATTTACATGAGCAATTACAATATTCTTGGCAATCTCATCAAAGGATAATTTTCTTTTAATCGATGATAATGACTCATTACAATTGTGACCACCACCATCATTATCTTCAATATCGTGACCATCATCAATTTTATAATCATTGCACTCATTAATATTATTATTATCCAATAATGACCAATCAATATGTTTGGATAATTTCCATAATTCTTGTTGTATATTCGATATGGATAAAGATGATGATAATGACGTTGATTGTTGTTGTTGATGATTACGACCTGTTGTTATTGTCATCATTATTGATTCAAATAAATCTTTAAACATTGAACATTGATTATTCATCATCATTTTCGACATTAATGTTGACATCAATTTGGATTGTTGACAAAATGCCAATGTCATATGTTGTGAATTTGGTGCCAATGTCATCAAATATAATGATTTAATCAAATATTCATTATTCAATTGTGAATGATCTTCTAGCCTGGATAAACAGGATTCCAATTCTTCATCGGTGAATTTTTTCTCATTAAATAAATATTGATGATAAAGATCAATTATTTCGAAATCTAATCTTTCTAAACGATATTCCAGTTGATCAAGGTGATAATCTTGACAAAACATATCACAAATGGCGGACAAACGTGATTGATTTTTTGCGGACAACAATCGTAATTGATTTTCAATCTGTTCGATTATAATGGCCAAATATTTGCTTTTATTATTCTGATTATCATGATGATTACTTTCATCGATTCGATTAGATTCTTTTTCTGCTGCAGCTGCGGCAGCCGCAGCAGCAGCTAAACGTTTACTACCACCACGTGTACGTATCATCATTCTTGTTTTATCATTAATTTGATTGTTGGCTATTGTTGGTGATTCAATTTCATCGAAATTAATATCAATAAAATTCTTAAATATCGTTGAATTATTCGATTCCCATGTCATAAATGTTGAATGTTCACGATTATTGTGATGATCACGATCCTGAGATGATTCATCCAACGAACCAAATTGAATCGAATTCGATGATGAACTTGATGATCTTGATCGTAATTTCATTTCACATTTGGATGGCGAAATATTATTATTATTACTACGATTATTACTAGTTGATTGCTGCCATAATCTTCTTGGACTATTACATTGACTGTATGATCGGGATTCAGAACATGAAGATGATTCACCACCAGTACCACAAGCATCATTACCATTAAATAAATTTGATTTGGGAAAAAATGAATTACCGGTAGTATTGGCAAACATTTGCTCAGTTTGTTTCAACAATTCCATTGTACCATCAAATAAATATTCATTAGGATCCAAAAAATCATTATTATTATCAAATTCTTGAATAGATGATGATGATGATTGATCCATATCGATACGTGATATGTTCGGCATATCAAATTTAATTGAACATTCAACACCATGACATTGTGGATGCTGATGATGATTCTGGATAGAATTTTTTCCATTTTTTCGATTTGAGCATTGTTGTTGACTAGTCATCGATGATTCCACTGAAGATATGACCAATGAACGTTTACGACGTCGTCGTTTTCCGTTATAAATACGATAAGTTGTTTTTGTTGATTTTGATGTTGCCATGTTTATGTTGGGTGATGATCCAATGGCCGTTTCCATCGTTGATGAAGATTCCGTAGAGTTATTTATTACATGATTGTTAAGCGATTGATAAGAAGATTTAAATTTTGAACTAAAAAATTCATCAAAAATTTTCAATATTTTCAATACTGAATGACGTTGATGAATATCATGAGAAAGTTTCTGTAATGATTCCATTGATATTACCCGTTCCATTAGATATTGTTGTAATTGTTGTGCATTTTTGAATGTTGTTGTTGTTGTGACTGGTGGTGGTGTTGAATTACCACCACTACCACCATTGATAACATTTTCAAAAAAATATTTCGATTGTGTTCGTGTCATTAATGGCATATGGAAGGTTACAGGCGATAATGTGGAAGATTTATTGATACACGATGGTGGTGGTGTAGGACTTTTGGATCCATTTCTAAAACTTTCATCATTATTACTGATCATACCATTTAAACGATTACGTTTACGTGATAATGACGATGATGATAATGAATTAGAATCCATAAATGAATATTCCAATACTTTTGAACTACTACGTCTTCGTCGTTTGGCTGGTAATGGCATATTTTCCGGTTCAATAATTGGTTCTGATTCATATTTAATTGTAGCGATTATCGACCATATTGTTTGTAAATCATGATTGATTAATAAATCAAACCGTACGAAATCATTGATTGCAAAACGTAAATATGATTGCAATGGTTCCCAATTTCTTCGTTCAATATTCAAAACAATTCGTTGAATAAATGTTTGAAATTTTTCCCATTTTTCCATTGAAAATAGTGTCATATATTCGGAAGAAGAATCTTGACTGGCAGCAATTATTGATGACTCATTAACATTTGTTGATTGACTAGCTAATTGTTGTTGTTGTACAGCTTTTGTTGAACGTGCATTATTTGCCGTACGATTTTTCTTGCGGATTTTTTTCGATTTCTTTTTCAATCCGGCCGTGGTTTTTCGATGATGAATATTCGTTGATGATGATAATTTTTCCGATCGATTAAATGTCGATTCATTCGATATGGTGGTAATTTCATCACAAATATTTGCCGAAGATGATGATAATGATTTTACTTTAGGATTAGTTGTTTGAAATGTTAATGGAAATGCATTGAATGCATGTTCCAATGATACTAATTCCCAATTATGTGAACCGTCATCTAAATCATCATTCATTTCATCGGTTTTAACTGTACATAACGAAGATGATGATGATGTGGATGGTGATGGTGTAGGTAACAATAACGCAGTATCCAATGGTGGAAGAAATTCATCCTTTAGTTTCAATTTTTCATAATACCAATGTCGTTTCGATAATGATGCTGATGATATATAAATTGAACCATTCAATGGCCAACCGCGTAGATTATGTTGCTTCCATCGTTCTTGATCACGACGTTTTTTATAATATTTTTGAAACTTTTCGATAAAAAAATCAATTAGCAAATTCAATTTGATTACCAAATTCAATTCACTTACCGAATGGAATGTCGTTTTTCGATTACGACCACAACCACTATTCGAACGATTATTCGTCTGACCACATTCATCACGTAACCATGATTGAAATAACTTTGATTCTAATTTTAGATCCGATTCTTGTTTAACAATGGATGATAAACGATCCTCCAATGACCATTGTGTGGAATTGAAATGTATTTTTAATGATTCAATTTCATCATATTCTTCTCGTGGTCGATTAAATTTTCGTAATTCTTGGTATAATTTTTCATTCGTTTCCACGAATTGTTTTGCTTTTAAAAATGTTTTCGATCGTCCATTAATATTTTTCTTTGTCGTTTTTGTTGTTGATTGTTTATTTATAGTCTTCATGTCACTACTATCGATATTTTTATCATCATCACCATCACTATCGATTAAGTTCGAATCATCATCATCATTACTGTCGAATATTGTTTCCGTTTTTATCGTACATTTTTTTGGTGATAATTTTGTCGAACTGTCACCACTTTGATTCGTTGATGATGATGATCGATTTTTCGGTATTTTATAATTTGAATTTTTCAATTTTTGCACAACGGATGATGATGTCGATGTCGACGATGATGATGATGATTTTAACTTTTCGGTATTTTTTAAGATTTTATTATTAAAATGATGATTATGATTATGATTTGTAAGACGATTTGTATTCGTTTGATGATTAAAACGATGTTGTTGTTGATGTTTTTTTGATTGTTGTTTTTGAATTATCGATAATGATGATTGATGTTTGCGTTTCAATGATGATGATGATGTTATTGTCGAATTCGAACATTGACTCATCGATGGTGATGAACGATTTTTTCGATATGATGATGATGTGGTGGTGGTGGTGGATGTACCATTAATCAGATTTTTTTCCTGTCTATTTTTCATCGATTGAGATGTTTTTGTTGTCGATTTTGAGGATGATGACTGTTTAGTCGTCGTCGTCGGTGACGATAATGATCGATTATGTTTGTCATTATGATTGTGATTCTGTTTTTTCGTTTCCAATAATGATGTAGTCGATGATAATTTTCGATGTTTTTTATCTTCACGCTGTTGTTGTTGATTCTTTTTAACATACATATCGTATACATAGGAAATTAATGGAAATAATTTCAATGACATCAAGACAAAACATTTAAACAATTTTTGTTTTCTTTAGCCCAGCCGATTTACTTTGATCAGAGAAAAAAAATCGAATTTGAAATTTTTTTTTTGAAATCTCTCTCTGTGTGTGGGGTAGGTGTGTTCGAGAATTTTGATTTGAATTTCGGCGCCAAATTTCAAAGTTTTTTTTTGAACCTTCAACGTTTGTTTTTGTTTTTCTTTTCTTTCTTGAATTACATAATGATCATTTTTTTGCTTTTGAAAACACCGAGAGATAACAATCGAATCAAATCAAACCAAAACAGGTGTAATTGATCGTGGGGGCTCGACAACAGGTTTTCCTTCTTTTTTGTTTTTACCGTTATTTGTACCCTTTTTTTCTTGAAGTATTTTTATTTTGTTGTTGGAATTAAAGTCTTAAATTGATGATGAACATGATGAAAAGAAGAATTTTGTGCAGAGAACTCTTTTTTTGGATTTTATCAAAACAGGTTATCTTTGTTCGAGAAACAAAATCGCAAATGAAAATGGATGGATGGATTTGTTTAAATAGCTTAACGGAATTGTTGATCTTTCAATGATGAGTAATTTAATTTCAAGTTGAAAAAAAGTAAAAAATAAAAATTGAGGATTTTCGAATCGATAATTTTCCCAAATGAGAATTAAATAAATAATAATAATAATTTCAATTTTATCGATTATTTCGAACACAGAATACAATCATTATGGATCGATTTTCGATCTCAATTTGATTTCAAATGAATAACGAAGAAGAAGAACTTCGAATTGATGGAAAATACTTTTTAATTTTGAATTTGTTTCAATTCGCAATGTTTACATCATGTAAAAAAAGATTGATTACATCCATTCACCGAAAAAAAACATTTCTCTTTATTTTTTTACGAATTACACATGCGCGCTCAGCTTCATCGCAAAAAGACACAGACAGTTTTCACGCCTGCATGCTGACTGCTGCAGCAATGAATCGCCCATGGACAAACCAACCAAAAAAAACAGTAATCATTTTGTGTCGAAATAGTCGATCGATTATTCTCAAAATTCAAATTTTTTTAATTGAAAATATCAATTTATTGATGAAAACAAAAAAGATAAACATGATTATTATCGTTTTTTAAAATTTTGGCATTCATTTTGTGAGTGATAAACAAAACAAAAAAAAATGGCTCAAGGAAATTACACATCACATGCATGATCATGATATATGAAAAAAAAAGAATATTCCTGTGTTGGCACTTGTGTGAATGGGTCAAGAAAAATTAAAAAATGATTTAAGATTCTGATTCTGTTGATGAATGAATGAATATCCGAACACATTCTTATTATTATTATGCAAAATCAAAATGAAAAAAAGTTGATATTTGGGCGATTGTTTGATAGAATTATTCAGTATGATGTTTACGTTTGATATTCATATGATAATATGGATGATAACGTGATTGTCGTTGTGGCTGTTGCTGTTGATAATGATTATATAATAGATTTGGATCTGATATCATTGCTGCATTTGCACCAATGCCACCAACACCATATCCATGAAGACCAGCAGCAGCAGCAGCCATTACAGCAAATAAATCTTGATTCAATGCATTCGTTGGATGTTGTTGTTGCTGTTGTTGAGCAGCTAATTGCGCCAAATGTAGATGTTGATTATTTAATAATGTTTGTTCCAAATTAAATACAGGCGATGATGATAATTGGCCAGGATATAATGGTTGAGATGATGACGATAATGGCTGTTGTATGGAGGATGGTTGTTGATATTGCGATGTTGAACCAATCAATTGAGGATGATTAAATAAGGCAGCTAATGATGATTGTGGTGATGTTTGACTTGTCGTTGTTGTTTGTTGTTGACCACCACCACCAAATGATCCACCCGATAATGTATCAATCAATAAACAATTAGGTATCGATGTTGTTGTTGTTGTCGATGATGATGTAAGATGAGGATTTTTCGCATGACCAATACCACCATTTGTTGTCGACATTAAATTATGACGATTATTCTTTGGGTGATTCGCTGATGATGATTTTTTCGTATTAAATTTATCATTCAGAATAGCCAATTCGGCTAATTGTCTCATTTTGAAATCATCTTTTTGCATTATAACCGAATCGATTAGTTTTTGTATCTGATCCCGTGCATAATTTAGTTTAATTTCTGCACGATTAATTGAATCCTCAACAACAATCATAACATGCAGATCATCATTCAGATGTTCCCAATTCGGTTGACCACGTAATTTTTCCTCTTTTTCTTTATTACGTAACGATCCTTTACCACGGACATAAAGTTTACAACCACAATCCACTTCCAATTCTTGTATAGTCAGGCCACGTGGGCCAATAATTCTACCGACAAAATTATGCTCCGGGTATTGATCAACAGGTATCGATATACGTGTTGTACGTTGTATAATGGCACCATCCGGTTCAGGTAATTGTAATGGTTTTCGTTCATCTACTGAACAACCATCAATATGTATTAATGATGTACGTACACGTTGAATTTCTTGATCCAGAAGACGTAATGTATGTGAAAATAGACCCAATGGCATTAATGAAAGACGTTCACGATCATTAAATAATTCTTTTAGATAATCTAATGATTTACGTTGTGTTATTTTATCCAATGCATTTATTGTTGATGATGATGATAATGTATTTGTCGTTGTTGTTGTTGATGATATCGATGTTGTCGCGATCGATGATGATGGTGTGTTATCATTATCATTTTTAATAATGATTTCCTCATCACCACCATTAACATTGGCATTTCCATTCATCATTATTATCGTCGTCTGTTCATCAACCTGTTGTTGTTGTTTTGGTGAATGATGATCATCATTATCATTAACGTTATCAAATTTGTCTTCATTATTCATTGTTGTCGATATGTCAATTAAATCATTATTATTTGTATCATTTTTCATTTTAGTTTCCATCATAAAATCTAATTTTTTACAAATATCTTCTTTTCGTTGTTGTTGTTGATCAATACTATCATCATTATGAACATTATCATCTTCATTGATAAAATCTAATAATTTTTTTACCATTATATCCTGATCATTTATATGTTGCTGTTGATTATCATTATTATTAATTTGATCATCATCCATATTGGTAACAGTTATATCATCTAATGATGTCATCGTTGTTTAATCATTGAAAAAGGCACTGAAAATTTTCTATTGACATTGATCGATCGATAAAATCAATCAATCACAAAATGTATGATCTTCACAGATGAAAAAAAGAAGAGAGAGAAAAAAGAGACGTCGTCTGCTATTTTGAAAAATTTTAGAATGATGATAACCAAACACGTTTCAAGATTTTTGGTGGGTTGATTGAGGTAAATTTTTCAAATATTCCGGTTGGACAAGACAAGAAACAAACGTTTTGAATAAATATTCTTCGGTTTCATTTCACAATAAGGAAGCAAATAAAGAAAGGCACTGTTTTCGTATGTATCGATTTCCAATCGATATTCAATTTCGATTTTCTATCGCCACATAATAATCATTGGTGTGAGAGAATCTGACCTAGTTTCAAGTCACAAAAATGATCTACCATAATGAATATTCAACAAAACAAAACAAAAACGAAAACAAAAATTGTCATTTTAATTGGATCGATGATAACGAAATCGAGAAATGGAAATAAGAGAAAATTATCGCAAACAGAGATCAAGTTTCTCATGAGAATATTTACCTTGTTTGTGAGTTTTGTTGTTTTTTCAGTTGTTGATCAATCACATCAATGATAACTATCACCATTATCATTAATGAATTTGTCATTTTATTTTCAATGTTTTTTTAATCACACGATCATGGCAAAATGGATTTATATTCAGAGCATAAATAGTGACGGACGAATAACAAAAACAAAACAACAACAATCGCGATGTGTATCATGATATACGATCATTCGATATTCGATTCGAATGTGTGTGTGTGTGTGTGCGAGCGAGACACACCTACCCAACTGTTGAAAGGAGAAAAAATTTTAAAGTTTTTTTTTTGTTTATCATTCAATTGATTTTCAATTTTTTGATTGATTTGGATTGATCAATCGTGAAAAACCAATGCCTTTTCTGATTCTGTTTTTTGTTTTGAATAATTTTTTCCCCAGAACAAAAAAAACATACAAACAATGTACTTTGTACCTAAAAAACAAAACAAAACAAACGAAAAATAAAAACCGAAACTGGTTTGTTTTGGATGCTCTCGGTATGTGTGTGTATAGGGATGCTCATCAACATGGATTGTATGCATATGAGGGTGGTCGACTTTTTCGCATTTTCGCATCTCCAAAATAGACATCGATTTTGTTGTTGTTGTTCTGTTCTGCCTTCAACTTCTGCCAACTTTTGTTGTTTGGCTATATAAAAATTATGATTTAATTTGGGTGAGGATGGTTGTTCTGATTATTATGTAAACATCATCATTAAATGAATTAAAAGATGCGCATCAAACAAAAATTAAAATTTCAAAAACAAAACGACCCTGGTGGGACTTGAACCCACAATCCCCGGCTATTTCCACTGAATTTAATGATTGATGAAATGTTCGGAAAACAAAATTTTCCAAAATTCTTCAACGAAACAATTTAACCGGAAACCGATGCCGTATCCATTTGGCCACAGAGTCGATCCATTATAGAGTTCCGGATGAATTTTTACCCAAACAGATATTATTCCATTTGTCACGTGGCTCGATTTCAAAATCAACAAAAAAAATTTGAAAATGACCAAAAGAAGAATTTTAAACATTTTTAATTAATTTTCAAATTGATCAATCACAAAGTCATAAAATTGACAAATTCAAATTCTAAAATAATTATTATAAATAAAACCAACAACACTGGTAAAAAACCAACATGAACATGTCCACCAAAGTAGAAAGCCCATAAAACCACGTAAAACAATTGGATTGAACACATCACGCAACAATGTTAATGCTAATCTAGCAACATCTTCAGCTGTTTTATCTTCATTTGTAATGGTCGTTGAATTTAAATGACTAGTATTATTAGTATTGTCTACAATCATTGTATCATTATCCATCAGTGTTGATTCATTCGTTGATAACCACAGTGTTCCAGTCCAACGATAATCACCGGTTGATTTTGTCAACAATGCTAAAAACAAACACAGTAATAATGGTGTTAAATATTGTAATGATGCAACACTTAGATAATGTCCAACACGTGCGATTAATTTCTGTATATCGATATTGGTTATTTTCCCTGTTTGTTTGCGTAGATAACTAATTTTTTGTGGAGCAATATTTAGATATGATTGTAGATAATGACGAAATAAACAAAATCGTAACATTAATATGGCTAATATTAATATTAGACGACCACTTTCAAATGTTGTTGATGATATTCTGTTGAAAGAAATTATTGAGAATAAAGGAAAAATGCAAATCAAGTTACTTACGAATTTTTTTCGACAAAATAATAACGTGCAACAGGTTTAATCCACGCTAAACAAATAAATAAGGGTGATACAAATGATAAATGCAACATTATCGTCAGAAATTGATTTCCCTTTGAATAGACTAATGAATCAAAATGCATTTGGGCAATACGTAGACCAGGAAATGCAAATAATGCACCAATCAAACCACAAATGATTGCCAGCCAAAATTTTATCATCAAAAATGAACTAGGACCATATGCATTTTCAATAACACCTTGTGTTTGTAGTAAATGATAAGCATTTGTAGAAAAATTTCTATAAGCATCCAACAAACCAAATTCTAATGTTTCTTCATCGGCAATCAATATAATCATGGCGACTAAAAGATAAATACAAAAACAAACAATACAAATCGAGCGTTCACCGATTGATTCTTCCCCTCGAAAATAAGTGGCCGTTATTGAGCAAAGAATTTTCATTACAAAACCTAATGACAGAAGGCACCAAACAATACTCAGGTTATATTCATCATTCATACCATTACGAATGAATGTATAATATGATTCGGTTAGAAAATAAACCAAAACAGTACTGATTGAAAAATCAATCAACCATTGAAGTTCATTATAATAAGGCAATTGAACCAGATTGAACAGTGTTAATGGTTCAGAATCGAGCATTAATCGTAAATCTTTTGGAACATAAAATGTTTCCGGTTTTGTATGTTCTTCTTGATGATGATTACGACGATTTTTACGATAATTTTTTCGTTGATGGTGATTGTTTTGATTGATGGAATTGGAATTTTTACCCGTTATCGATTGTTGTTGCTGGAGTTCATCATTTTTTGATTGTTGTATCGCTTGTTTGAGCTGTTCGTTTGTCGGATGCAGATAACGAATAAGGCCACTGAATTATGGGAAAAAATTAGAATTTTTTGAAATTAAAAAAAACTAAAACAAACCCTTTTGTTAATATCCATCTCGCAAATGAATATTTTGGAGAAAGTTTATTCAAAATACTTAGAACAATTATAGTGAGCAATAATTGAAAACCGAATACAGCCTGTTTATATTTTCAGTAAAGAAATTGAGAAGATTTTAAAATTATGAATAAAATCTTACCATTATTTAAAGAAGAAAATTCACATGAAAATTTAAGCAACTAATCAAGGAAAATGATATCAATTAATCCATGGATGATGAGAATTTTAGAATCTAGGCCACGATTGAAAATGATAAAATTACCATGAAGAATACACTAAAGCGAACGCACACAATGTGTTTTTTCGGCACAATATTTTCAATATTCGGGTCGTTTCAATATTGGCTATTTTCATCCACCATGAACCTTTTGGTGTAGAATTTGACAAATTCTGTTTTAATTTTTCTGAAATGATCTTTTTTTGGTTGTCAACATTAAAACAGCAAAATGGCTACAACTATGAATGGTGATGATATTCCAGCAACAAAGCGTTCCAAATTATCTGGTGTCAATGATATTGATGATGACAATGATGATGATGAATTAGACGAAGAAACTATATTGAAATTGGCTGCCGAAAAACGACGAAAAGAAAAAGAACCGCTTTCGTTGGAAGAAATTAAATCCAAATTGATTAAAGAAGAAGAAGCTAAATCAAAACCAGTATTCCTAACGAAAGAACAACGTGAACAAGAAGCAATCCGAAGACGACAAGAGGAAATTGCCGAAAAAAGGCGACAACAAGATGAAGAACGTCGTCGTCGAATGCAATTTATGGATGAAGCAAAATCCACATTACGTTCGGAAAGAGATCGTGATCGTGATCGAGATCGAGATCGTCGTCGAGAACGTGACCGTGATCGTCGACGTGATAATCGCGAACGAGAAAGAATATCGGATCGAAATGCTGCAGGCAGTTCAGGACGTTATGATCGAGATGGTTACCATCGCTCAGGTCGCATTGGTGATGAAGATGGTCATGGTGGTGATGATGATAATGATCGTCAACTTCAATCGGGTAAATTGAAAGAAAAAGAAGAAGAAGTAATCAAAGAACGATATTTGGGCATTATTAAAAAGAAACGTCGTTCACGTAAATTGAATGAACGAAAATTTGTATTCGATTGGGATGCAACTGAAGATACATCCATCGATTATAATCGTCTTTATCAGGATCGCCATACCATACAATTTTTCGGCCGTGGTCATTTAGGCGGTATCGATCCAAAAGAACAACGCAAAGAACAATCAAAATTTTATGGGGAATTATTGGAAAAACGACGATCAGAAGTGGAAAAACGACAGGAAGAAAATCGTTTGAAAAAAGTTAAACACCGTGAGGAAAAACAATTATGGGATGATCGTCATTGGACGCAGAAATTATTATCAGAAATGACTGAACGTGATTGGCGTATATTCCGTGAAGATTTCAATATAACGATTAAAGGTGGTCGAATACCAAATCCAGTGCGCAGTTGGGATGAAATTAATGGTCTGCCAAAAGCAATAATGGATATTATTGCTAAATGTGGTTATAAAGAACCAACGCCAATTCAAAGACAAGCCATACCAATAGGGTTACAGAATCGTGATATAATTGGTGTGGCTGAAACTGGTTCAGGTAAAACGCTTGCATTCTTGATTCCATTATTAGTTTGGATAACATCATTGCCGAAAATAACACGACAAGAAGAAATTGATCAAGGTCCATATGCAATAATATTGGCACCAACACGTGAATTAGCACAACAAATTGAAGAAGAAACAATGAAATTCGCAACAGCATTAGATATACGTACTGTAGCCATTATTGGTGGTATTTCTCGAGAGGATCAAGGTTTTCGTGTACGTATGGGTGTTGAAATTGTTATCGCTACCCCTGGTCGTTTGATTGATGTGCTGGAAAATCGTTATTTGGTTCTTTCACGTTGTACATATATTGTATTGGATGAAGCTGATCGTATGATTGATATGGGCTTTGAACCGGATGTACAGAAAATTTTAGATTTTATGCCCGTCACTAATCTGAAACCAGATACAGATGATGCTGAAGATGGTGATAAACTGATGGCTAGAATGGCAACCGGTAATCGTTATCGACAAACAGTCATGTTTACCGCAACAATGCCACCGGCAATTGAGCGTTTAGCTCGTTCATATTTACGTCGTCCTGCTACTGTTTATATTGGTTCGGTCGGTAAACCAACGGAACGTACTGAACAAATTGTCTATATGGTTAGCGAAGGTGAAAAACGACGTAAATTAATTGAAATATTACAAGCTGGTGTCGAACCACCAGTCATTATATTTGTTAATCAGAAAAAAGGTGCCGATGTTTTGGCAAAAAGTTTGGAAAAATATGGTTTCAATGCCTGTACATTACACGGTGGTAAAGGACAAGAACAACGTGAATATGCATTAGCATCATTGAAAAGTGGATCGAAAGATATTCTTGTTGCCACTGATGTTGCTGGTCGTGGTATCGATATCCAGAATGTATCATTAGTAATAAATTATGATATGGCTAAAACAATCGAAGATTATACACATCGTATTGGTCGTACTGGACGTGCTGGTCGTCACGGTCAAGCTATTTCATTAGTAACCAAAGATGACAGTAGTTTATTCTATGATCTTAAACAATTATTGCTACAAAGTCCAGTTTCAACATGTCCACCTGAATTGATGAATCATCCGGAAGCACAGCATAAGCCAGGCACTGTTGTACAGAAGAAAAAAGAAATTCTTATGTAGAATTTTTCATTCATTTTCAATTTTTTCATATTTTCATTTTCATTTGAAAAAAAATAAATTTCAAATTTTTCATTTTAAACAATCGAAAACATCGATGTCAATGTTCATCACTATCACTATCGATTGACGCATGCGTATCATTTTTTTTCAATATTGTTTTATCAACGTTCATTCAGTGTGTGCATGAATGGATAGAAAATTCGAGAAAATTCCAGTTAACATACATGCGCATTAATAATGTTCGAAAACCGGCAAACCAAGCGAGCAATGCAGGGGTTATAAGCCACACCGATTGAAATTAAGTAAAACATTGTTCAGTCTATTGTTCGATTCGTTTCGTTTCTTTTCATTTCAATTTAGCGCTTCAAATTCAATTCGACTTTGCATTTTTTTCAAATTTAAATTATCATCACTTTTTGTTTGTGGTTCTTTTGTACTTGTGTTTTTTTCAAATTCATCAAATTTGAATAACCGATATTTTCAATAAAATTAAACAAAAAAATGGCAAAAACACCAGCAATCGGTATTGATCTTGGTACAACCTATTCATGTGTCGGTGTATTTCAACATGGTAAAGTTGAAATAATTGCTAATGAACAAGGTAATCGAACCACACCATCGTATGTGGGATTTACCGATACCGAACGTTTGATTGGTGATGCGGCCAAAAGTCAAGTGGCCATGAATCCAAGTAATACCGTTTTTGATGCTAAACGTTTGATTGGTAGACGATTCGATGATGCCACCGTACAAGCCGATATGAAACATTGGCCATTCACTGTCGTCAATGAAGGTGGAAAACCTAAAATTCAGGTCGAATATAAAGGTGAAACAAAGAAGTTCTTCCCTGAAGAGATTTCATCAATGGTTTTGACCAAAATGAAGGAAATTGCTGAAGCTTATTTGGGCAAAACAATTACCAGTGCTGTAATCACCGTTCCAGCTTATTTCAATGACTCTCAACGTCAAGCAACTAAAGATGCTGGTACAATTGCTGGTCTAAATGTTTTACGTATTATCAATGAACCAACTGCTGCCGCTATTGCTTATGGTTTGGACAAAAAAGCCAAAGGCGAACAAAACGTATTGATTTTCGATCTTGGCGGTGGTACATTTGATGTATCCATATTGACCATTGAAGAAGGAATTTTCGAAGTAAAATCAACAGCCGGTGATACTCATCT